GTAACATTTCCGTCACACGCTTGAGGTATTCGGCCAATCACAACGCACTGGAGAGCTGGCCAATCAGAGCACACCTCGCTTTTCAGTCCAATGAGCTTTGGAAAAAATCGACATGTTTCAGAAAGGCGGGGCATAGAGGAGCAACAATAATGTACAGTATGTGGAAAATAATGTGTTTTTTTTAACCTTAAACCGCATAAACACATTTCATTACACCAAATACACAAAATAATGTTCTTTTTAGCAACATCATATGACCCCTTTAAGATGAACATGTTTTAAACTCTTACCAGTTTATGTCTTATTTATATCTTATCCATTACAGTGTACAAAACAAATCATGGCAAAATGGTAGCAGCTGCGTTTGCATGAAATGAGAGAGCGAGTCCGTGATACCAGGATGACATAATTAAATAATTGTACACATAATATTGAATTGAGTTTTAATATTTTATTAGCTAACCAAACGCAAAGCTTCCTCCAAGAAAAACTGTTCCTAGCAAGAGTATAGCGCAGACTTCAGTTACTCGGATGAGCTTGTGTTGTCAGCTTTTACCGGTTGTTATCAAAAATAATAACATACCTCGGAATGTCACGATTGACCAATCAGAATCAAGGTTTTCACAGAGCTGTGTAATAAATTGAAATAAAACCAATGTCACAATATGGCTTAATGCAATTATCATATTGTGCAGGCTGTGATTTAATTAAATATATGCAATTAAATACGGCAACCCGTCAAAATAAAAGCTTGATGGTTTACCATTTGAAAATTGAGATGTAAATATTAGTATTGTAATTTTACAGTATAATTAAATTATATGTATTACTCATTACAGCATTATTACAGTATATTTATTTTTGTTTAATATTTTTATTTCATGACCATCACAATCAAATTTTAATCATTATTATTATTGTATAGTCATATTTATTTGGGAGAATGTGGTGAATAAAAACTGAAGTAGAAAGAGATTTTTAGTATTATTATTATTTGTTTATCTCTGAAATAGTTTCTGAAAAAGGTTTGAGTTGGTTCTTGTAAAAAGGAAAATTAACACTTTTTTTTTCTAAAGTCACCCTTAAATTTTTTCCCAAATCACTCATAATTTTACACTAAAAAAAAAACACTTCAGGCTAAAAGTTTATTTTCAGCTTTTTAATTATTTTTATTTTCTCTCCCAACAAAATCACCTCACTAGCTCTAGCTATATTTGGAAAGAATCATCTATTCAAGTCATGTAAACCAATTGTAGGAGACTCCCAAAACAATATTAGGAACCTTACAAATGGCATAATAGGGGCACATTAAAGCTTCAAGTAAAGTCTTACCATTTTAATTTTTGTAGTCTATTAAACATTTCCTCAGCTAGTAGATATGTGCTCTACTAAATTGTTTTTATGTTTGTATTCTTCATAAGTAACTCATTGGTGTGAATTCATTGGTCAGATGTGTGGTCATATTTCCCATGATTCCATGTGTTGATGATTCAATCTCTCTCTGTGCAGCCGGCCGATCTGAAGAAGCGCATCGAGTCACTGATCGACCGTGATTATATGGAGCGCGACAAAGAAAACCCAAACCAGTACCACTATGTGGCGTAAGAGCGGCTCTGAGGCTGTGACCCTTGACCTCTCACCCTCCACACAAGGGCTTTTGGGCCGGATGGGACATGTGATGCCGTAAATCCCTTGTGACCCTACAAACGCTGTAGGATGATTTTAGCATGATTGCGAATGATTTTCACTAAAGATGCACTTTTCTTTGACGACTCTGTGTTCGTTGTTATTGAGTTTAGCGTGTAGCTTGTCTGCTGTAGCATCACAAGTGTGTGTGCGTGTGTGTTTCTTCCTCCCTGATGCCAGAATCGTGTTGATGTGAGGCGTGTTACGAGTGATGTTGACACTTTTGGCGTTTACCCGCTCAGGCAATGGAAATCACATACACACACAAGTGTAAGAGTGTGTGTGTGTGTGTGTGTCTGAGATCTGTCACTCATCACCTGTATTCTGTCACATATACAGTTTTGTAGAACAGAAGATTCTATTCTTTGTAAGCGGGCAAAGATATAAAACAATAAATCATATTTAAGATATTATGAGTGAACTGTGTTACTTGCTATTATTTCTCATTTTGTTTATGATCGGACTCATGAAAGAACACAGCCAGCTCATATTTCAGCCCAAAATCACAAATTTTGGAAATTAATGAAGAATTCTTTTATGCCTGACAATTGTAATACAGTGATTTTACTGAAAGCAGAACTATAAATACTACCATTATTTCTAAATACAATTTAAATAATTCATGCTGAATCTAT